CCCGCGGGGGGGGGGTGTATGTCCGGTGATGGCGGCAGGGCCCCGGCTAACCCCAGGCGAGGAAAAGCACCCCCTGTCCCCCCATCCCCTCCTCCTGCAGGTCTCCGGCTGCTTTAGTTAAAGAAACAGGTCAATTCGGTTAAAATAGACCAAACCGCCAGCTGGAGGAGGGCCCAGGGAGGGGAAAAGTGAACCCCAAAATAATCCTTTTATTTGCTTTCAGGGTGCTCCCCAGGGGAGGTAAGAGATGTGAGGGGGCTGGAAGGAAACACCCCGAGCCCCCCTTCACACCAGGGTCCTGCTCCCTCCTCCTTCTCCACCGAGGAACCGCTGGGAAGGGGCAGTGTAAAGAAAACCATCAAAAGACACGAAGAAATAGATCCACAGCTACAAAAAAAAAAAACAACAAAAAACTAAGCAGGGGCAGGAGAGAAAACAGCACCCAAAAGGGAAGAAAAGACCCTGCCCTTTCTTCCTTTTGGACAATTTTGGAACTTTTTGTTTCCCTGCTGTCCTACAGCCACCATTTGTTGGGCTCCGACAAGCGGCCGGAGAGAAGCGAGATGGAGCTGGGGAAGGGGGAATGGAAAGAAAAGGTTTCAGGTCTTTTCTGCGAGAAGCAAGGGAGCAGCGATTCAGCGGCAAAGAACAAAACCTGGGAAGAGGGAGACAACGGTGGAGCCTCACAGGGCCCTGGGTCCTGCCTCAGCCTCTGGGCTGGAAGGAAACACCCCGAGCCCCCCATCACACCCGGGTCCTGCTCCCTCCTCCTCCTCCTCCGCTGGGAAGAGGGCAGTGTAAAGAAAACCATCAAAAGAGAGGAAGAAATAGCTCTACAGCTACAAAAAAAACCAACAAGCAGGGGCAGGAGAGGAAACGGCACCCAAAAGGGAAGAAAAGACCCTGCCATTTCTTCGTTTTGGACAATTCTGGAACTTTTTCTTTCCCCACTGTCCTACAGCCACCAGTTGTTGGGCTCCAACAAGCGGCCGGAGAGAAGCGAGATGGAGCCGGGGAAGGGGGAATGGAAAGAAAAGGTTTCAGGCCTTTGCTGAGAGAAGGGAGCAACGATTCAGCAGCAAAGAACAAAACCTGGGAAGAGAGAGACGATGGTGGAGCCTCAGGGGGCCCCGGGTCCTGCCTCAGCCCCGGGGGCAAGAGGGAGAACAAAGAAAGTGTCCAAATATTTTATTCTTCACAAGTTACATGAACCACATATTACTTTATGGAGCATTTACAAATCATTATTGTGTTTTTTTCCCCCTTGATATTAATCTTCAGCTGTACCTGATCTCCTGAAGGGGTCTTTTCCCATCTCACACCCACCCCCCCCCCTTCAGAGCAGATGCTTTTTGCCCTCCCCACCCTGATCGAGTAACTACTTTAAAAACAATTCCGAGGTGGATATAAAAGTCTAGTGACTTGTAGGGGAACTGGCTGGAGCTCTCTGCTCACCCCAGGAAGGAGGGGGGGCACTGGGAGGGCTCGAATTGGCTACAACCCCAATCTCACACCCGCTGTGCCAAAGGATAATGGCTCAGGGAATCAGTGGCCGCTTGATTTTCCACCATCCAAGCAGCTTTTTTATTCCTTCTGCTCCCTACTCGGGCCCACCCTAAGCACAGTCACCCAGGCTGATCACTCACATGCATAAAAGACAAATTAAAAAAAAACAGGAGGGGGGAAAAAAAAAACCAAACAACCAAACCAACCGAAAAACAACCACCAAACCCCTTTTAAACACCAACAAAACATCATACCTTTCTTACTGTCCACCCCACTACTTCACAGATTGGATGGTTCCAACAACGTAGCCATAATTACTAAACACTAGACACGTTTTTTGTGTAGGACTTGGGGGGGGGGAAGAAGCCCAGGGAGCCTCCCAGAAATCACTGGGGGGCACGTTCTACCCGGCCAGTCCCAACTCCCACACATCTAGACCCATTTTTGGGAGGCGACCACCGAGCCCCCAAGGGTTTATCAACACTGGCCACGGCGCTACAGAACCTGAACGAGAATCTAAAAACCAACAGAAACCCCCCCATTTCCTGGAGGCGAGAAGGTCCCGGGAGCTCCACAAAACATCACCGTCCGTAACCGGCAGGAGGATGAAAGGGGGGCAGGAGGGGGGTGTTAGGTAGGACTCAAAACACTTCTTTGAAGTGGCACGTGGGCAGGAAAGCGAAGACATCCCATAGTGACGAGCATGTCGTTCTTCAAAAACGGGTTTAAAAAAATTCCCATGTAGCAAATAACATAGAAATGTAACAGTGTAGTTATTATTAATATTAATTTTTTTTCCCCAGTTTCTTTAGAAAGACTGTCGATGCTGGTTTGTGTTCAGCTTCCTGGATCTTCCAGAAGACAAAAAAAAACAAACAAACAAACAAAAAACCTAATGGAAAGGCTGAGAGGGAGGAGCAGGGACGAAGACTAAGGGAAAGAAAGCGTGAATCTGTCTTTAACATGCAGGTCATATAAAGTGTTTTGGTTTTTGTTTTTTTTCCATTGTTTTTTTTTTTTCCCCCTCTTGGACACTTCCAACTCAAGAAATGGCAACACGCACATGGCTTCCAGTTTTTAAAGCAAAGAACATAGTTCCCACGGACTGCGCTGCAGAGACAGGGAGACAAGACATTCGCAAATTCAATCTTTTACCAAAAAAATCAAAGCGTCCCTTTTAACCACCATGAACCACCAGAGAAAGGAACTGGTTTCTCAGCCCCCAACGGGGGAGGGAAGTTCTTATTCACCGCTCCTCGGGGCTCAGCACTAGCAGTACTGATGTGGAGAACCCGGTCTGTACGGAGGGGGACACGCACCAAATGGCTAAATTAAGGCACAAGACAGATAATTGCAGCCAAATATGTGAATTCCCACTCAGCTTCTTCCCCCCCCCCCGGGACAGCCCCGCTCCCAGCTACGGCCTCACCTGAAGGGCTCATTCCTGCTGATCTTCGTTACTGGCACTTGGAGTTCGACTCCTAATCTGGCTTCGTAGCTGCTCTATGAGTTCAGGGTTCTGCTGCTGCATCTGCTGAGCGAACTGCTGGCCCCTGAAGGAGGGGAAAAAAAAAGCAAGCAACAGCCCCATCAGCCTCCTCACCCTCCAGGTCCTGGGAAATTTCTTTACAAAACTCCCCTCGAACAAATAGCTCACGTGGCCCAAAGAGGCACTAATTCACCCCAATATTTAAGCCTTCCTTACCTGTTAAATTAAAAGTGTGATTTCTGGTGAGAAAAGTGAGAAAACCCCCCAAAAAAGCCATTTACTGATCGAAGCAATAGGAAAAACCCAGCTCTACTCACGCCTGTATGAGGCTGGCGAGGTCGTTGGTGGAGGGGCTGGTGCCAGCAGCTCCCATGGCATTGTGGCCACCAGAAATCATCCCGGACATGCTGCAGGAATAACGGGGTCATGGCTCAGAGCAGGGAAAAAGAAATAAAATAACCACACAGAAACTGTTTGGTTTACACTGAGAGAGAAGTGTCAGCATGAGGGGAGCACCTTCCCGCAGGGACGATGAAGTTCTCTCAAAGGGAACCTTTTGCGACAACTTCTCCTTCATTAACTGCAGAATTAAACTACACCACGTGGAGAAATACTGACAACAGTGTCAGTATTCCCAGAGATTCCCCCTTCTGTCTGCAAGCCCCTCGTTGTGTTTACTTAATTAAAACACTGCCCTTCCTCACACAAGGTACTTGCTGATCTAGAGAGCCTCAACACAGATCCGCTCGTGGGGAACAGCCCAGAGCTCTCACCCCGTCCTCTGGAGCCCTCGGGCTGCAGCTGGTGCAGAACCTCAGCTGGCAACAGCCGTGGAAGAAGCCAAATTATCTCAGAGGGTAATTAAAGGATGAGCTCCCGAAGGCCTCTAGCTCCCTGCCTACCTGTGCTCTGAGAGGGCGGCCAGGAGAGGTACGTGCCTTATTAGTTTTATGACTTTCTATTATCTAAGCGTCTCACAACCCTTGTGAACTGATCCTCACAACCCTGTGGCACAAAGAATGGAAACGTCCTCGTTCTAACGGAGCCAGAGCTGTGAAATCCTGGCTCCTGGTCACACAAACACTGTGCAGCAGAGACAAAGCCACCCCAAGCTTCCCAAACCCCATTCGAGTGCCATGATCTATCCTGCCTCCCTCCTGCAAACTCCCTCTTCTCTACCAAAATCCCTCTTCAGCACAGTCCAGGGCACTCAAAACACATTCACTGAGGAAACTGGGGCAGTTTAAAGTCCCCTCTCCATAATTCCAGCCCAAGCACAACCCACCCTCCCACCAGTTCAGAGGAACTACAAATGCCAAAGACACACAGAGCCTCCAAAGAGGAAATACAAAATGGATCAGACTTACAGCTGTTGTACTTGCGGGTTGTTCATTAGGTTAGACGCCTATTTAAAGAGGGGAGAGAAAAAAAAAAAATAAAGAAAACACGACACCCTATTTAGTTCAGAAATGATGGGGTAGATGTGCAGATGTTGTGCCATTCAACTACAAACAAAGTGAAGGCAGAAGTACTTGGAAACGGATCAATAGGACAGAAATAGCGAGGAGAAGCACAGCGGCACACACGAGACAAGGCTGGGAAGGCAGGAAAACACAAACCCTTTGCCCAGCCAGCCCCTTGCAAGGAGAAGCTTTTTCTTTGACCTTAATGAGACACGAGCACAGTTTCCTGACAGCAACACCGAGCCCAAGAAATGAAAACAAGTCTTAAGAGACTCAAGAGACACGAGAGCTCCCCACGCCACGGACCGACACATTTAACCCCGCACAGAGCAGAGCAGGCCAGGCTGTGGTCTCTCTCCACATTTACCATACTCATGAAGCCAGGGTTATTCAGCAAACCAGCTAAATCAAATCCTCCTGGGCCTCCGGTCTGCAAGAATAAAGAAAAAAAAAAAAACCAAAACCATGCTGATGACATCCTCTCACTTCCTGATGCTCAATACTTTAATATTTTACTCCCAGAGTTATCAGAATTCAGCCTTTAAACCTCAACAAAGGGAACACCAAACCCTTTGTGGAGCTCCCAGACAGCCCCAAGGGACTGGGCTCCCCCAAGGAGCCAAAGGGCAGATTCTGTTTTTGGTGACTTTCTGACCACCCCCTCCCCAGCTGAGCCCCATCAGTGATGTGCAGCCAGAACCCCCTACAGCTGCCACCTCAAACACATCCACTTGGTCACTTTTGCACTGGAAAAGTCTTTAGAAAATTAAAATCCCCTTCAAAATGCTAAAGTAACATGTTTCTGCATAGAGCGTGTCAGCAGTGCAGTCACCAGCTTTCTGGCTAGGAAACCTCCAGGTTTCTTAAGAGAAGAAAATCTTTGTAAGAAAAAACAAACACCTAAAACACCCTTAACACCCTTTTGTTACTGCTAACAGGTCACTAGAAAAAAAAAAGCAGCTGGATTTTAGGAAAGTCACCAGCTTTCTGGCTAGGAAACCTCCAGGTTTCTTAAGAGAAGAAAATCTTTGTAAGAAAAAACAAACACCTAAAACACCCTTAACACCCTTTTGTTACTGCTAACAGGTCACTAGGAAAAAAAAAAAAAAAGCTGGATTTTAGGAGCAGTGATTTTAATTAAGAAAGGTGCTTAAGGCAAAATTGCTGTTTCAAAACACTCTTTTTTAATCAGTCTCATTTTCCAGCTCTTTCAAATAAGCCCAAGGTGACTGTGCTCAGGCAGGGGAGAGAAGTTCCCCTCTCTGGGTTTCAGTGGAAATGCTCAAAGCCGGGCTCATTAACCATCTCCCCTCCCTCATTAACTGTCTCCTTAGGATCTGCATCCTAAACTCAGCCCAGGGCATCGTGGCTCTGCCGGGGAGCGCCCGTTAATGCTGACAGTGAAAACCCTTCTCATCTCACCCACACCAAACAAGCACCAGTTTCAGAACTTACAGGGCTTGGAGTCTCCTTCATTTTCTGTTCGGCTATTTTAAGGTTGGATTTGTAGGTGTCGTTGTCTGGATCCAGCTCCAGGGCTTTTTTGTAGTAAACGACAGCTTCTGTGTGTTTATTTAAACTGGAGAGGGCCAAGCTATTAAGTGGAGATAAAATGAGAAGTTAAGAATTAGAGAAGCACCTTCAGTCTTCCTCCACTCCCAGCAGAGGTAAAACACCAGGATTTTTTTCCATGGGGCAGAACACACCGATAGCATCGCTGCCGTGAGGCGTTTTGAGATTAAAACTCCAGCACACAAAGAACCTGCTTTTACTCACCCCATTCTGCCATAAGCTTTGCTGTAGTTTGGATCGATGCCTATAGCTCTTTCACAGTCTCTCACCGCTCCGGCGTAATTTCCTAGTTTACTGTAAGCAGCAGCTCTGGAGGCAAAATAAGAGAAAGATGTGCAGAAAACACTTATCAGCTTGAATTCGCTGATGGAGGTCACCCCTGTGCCCTCTCTGGAGCCTCCTGCTGTAGGAGGTGGAGTGTGAAGCTGACACAAACCCAGGCCGTGCCGGGGGGAGCAGGCTGCTTTCCAAACACCCAGCCCACTACAAGGAAATCCAGGCTCTCACTTCTCCTTAAGAGACTTCCCTGGGCTCCAGGGAGGTACAGAGGTATCACACTTGCTAATTCAGTCTCTCAGCTTCCCTTGAGCCTTGACTTGTTACTCACACTGACTCTTCCAGCCATTTCCTCACACTCCGCATACGAGGGAAGATTGGTTTTGAAGCCATAACCTGCTCCTTCGAGCCTCAGTCTCACAATTCTTATTGAAGGGCCCAAAACTTCACGGGGCTGACCCTCACGCGGCTGAAGCAAAGCTTCCCTAAAAGCACCAGCTGCAGTTCCTCACCCCAAGACAGACCTCCCTGCCATTAGCACGTGCACAGACCCGTTATTCCTGCAGCCAGCGACATGTACACACTCGTGATAAGCAGAGACCTAAGAAATCCCCATTCCGAGTCTGTTTTATTCAACAACTGCCTTCCCACCAACTTTCTAACATTTTTGCTTAGAACTGAAAAATGGGAAATTCCCTCGCAGACCCGATTTTGCACACACATCAGTTCTCAGTAACGAGCCTTCAACTTGTCTCCCTCTGCCCCTTTCTTCTTCTCCTCAACCCAGTCCCTCCCAATGAGCTCTCCAGCCCACTTGGAGTTAATTGCACGAAAGCGGACGGTATTTCTTGGCACCCTTCTATCTCCTCAAATGCCTAATAGAGTTTGTTTCCCCACCCACATCCTATCTAGAGATGCCAGGGGACAGAGCTGGCAGGAGGCACAGGAAAGTGTGTCACTGAGCTTAAAAAAAAAAAAAGCACAGGAAAGTGTGTCACTGAGCTTAAAAAAAACCCACACACAAAGAGCAAGCCAGAGAACAAGCAGTCTACAGAATTCTAAAAAGAAAAAAAAAAGATTTTGACCTTTCAAGAGTCTTGAACCCAAGTAGTAAGAACAACACCACGGGTGTACGAGGGTGGAGAAAGATAATCAGTACCTGTTGCAGAAATACACAGCGTTGGATGGATTTAGTTCAATTGCTTTTCCATAGAAAGACACAGCAGCTTCAAAGTTCTCTACCTTCATTTGTTCGTTTCCTAAAACGATGGCGGAAAAAGCTCATTACCAAGTGAAAAAACGGGGACAAAAAAAAGCAAGAGCCCTGGATCTGTGATCTACTTAAGAAAATGGAACAAGGGAAACCAACCACTTGCAACTTCTGCTGTGTGCAAGTGGGGCACGTTGCAGAGCGAGGGAGGGAACCCAGCAAGCCAGAGAACAAGCAGTCTACAGAATCCTAAAAAGAAAAAAAAAGATTTTGACCTTTCAAGAGTCTTGAACCCAAGTAGTAAGAACAACACCACGGGTGTACGAGGGTGGAGAAAGATAATCAGTACCTGTTGCAGAAATACACAGCGTTGGATGGATTTAGTTCAATTGCTTTTCCATAGAAAGACACAGCAGCTTCAAAGTTCTCTGCCTTCATTTGTTCGTTTCCTAAAACGATGGTGGAAAAAGCTCATTACCAAGTGAAAAAACGGGGACAAGCAAAAGCAAGAGCCCTGGATCTGTGATCTACTTAAGAAAATGGAACAAGGGAAACCAACCACTTGCAACTTCTGCTGTGTGCAAGTGGGGCACGTTGCACAGGGTGGAGGGGGGGACCAGTGTCCCAGCCTCATCCTGCAAGTGCCCTACACACCCCCAGCTGCCCTCATGCCTGGGGGACACCCGAGGGCCCCCCCAAAGCAGCACCATGTCCTGAGCAGTGCCCGGGCTCAGAGAAAGCTACACCAGCACTAATCCTTCTCTCTTGCACGGTGGAGAAAAGGCCACAGGCAGGGGAGAGCTCAAAGGGAAGGTGCCCTGTTCTACACGGCACGGGTTTCTCAGGACACAGAAGAATATGACCAGATAAATGACACCCACCCACACACACTCCTGGAGCACACGCAGAGAAACAAGCAGAAATGGAAGAGTTGATCCCATTTCCTTCTTTTCCTCCCTGTTCCAAGCATTCTCCAGGCACCAAGTGATTAAACCTCCCTCCCCGTTACCGTCCAAACCTCGTTACACCCCAGCTCCAGAGGAGGTTACCTTCAGTCTTGAGCCTTTCAGCTTCAGCAATGTCATCTTCAGAGGGGGTGACGGGCTCCGAATTCGTTCGGATGTGCTCGGGTGCCTTAGAAGGAAAGGGAGGAGGCTTCCATGAGGACTCCCACCACGATGTGCTTCACCTCCCCCTCCCCAAGCCTAAAACATTTCCCTCCCACACACCCCAAGGTGGGCAGCATCTCCAACAAGAACCCAGCAGAGCCCATTGCTCTGGCTGCTTACGTGGAAACTCAGCACACGCTCCAGGGCACTCGCTCACCTTTCCTGCAGCAGCTTCAAAGATTTCAGGAAGAGTCTGGGACACAGCGAGGCCTTGGTCTTCCATCGAGACCCCAAATGCTGTCTCCAGGCACTGGATGGCCACTGGGCAAGAAGAGTCAGGCAATGAGCATTCCCCACTCCATCTAAATACGCAGCTTCCCCCCTTCCCAGCACCTGAATTCCTTACTATTGAACATCCTAGAAAAAATAAACCACCCAATTCCACACACAAGACTTGATATTTGGGCATTACCCTCAAATTTGGCCAAAACCACAGAGCTGGGCAAGCCTTAGCTCTGTAGAGGATGCACCTGGATTGAGTCAATCCCCACTCCCACCCCCTCAGGTGACTCCAGAGCAGGTGCTGGGGGTAGAAGTTAATCAAACTGGGGTTTTACCAGCTTTCCCACAGCTGTGGGCGACAAAGAGAAGGTCTGAATGTTTCAGAAAGAGGTCACTTGTCAGAGGGTGGCTGCTCCATGAAGTGCTGTGGCCACACAGAGGTGCAGGGACACCAAACCTGCGGCTGCCCCCACCTCCTCCCTCATCAGGCACCTTGTCAGGAAGCTGTTCCCAGCACAGAAGGGAACCCCAGCGACAGAAGAGTTTTACAAAACCCTCATGCCATGTTTTAGTGCCCCAAGAGCACCAGGAATAAACCCCTCCTCCCGCCCTCCTCTTCCAGCCTCACCCAGGAATGTACCCACCGTCCTGCAGACGTGCCCAGGCTCCCTCTCAGCAGGACAAACATACAAGCCAAAGATTAAAGTATAAGCTCCTTAAGTAGATCTTTTAAGATCTGTGTGCTTTCCTTTAGCAGTGAAGCCCTCTGAAAAACCCTGTACAAACACTCCAGGGCGTTGCTCCGGAAAAGCACTTTGATATCAGAGGGGGAAAAAGTGCTCTGCAAGTGTAAAATGCTTCCACACAACAAAGTTCTCATTTTACACAACACTACAAGACTCCTCCCTCCACCTCGTTTAAGATAAAACTTCTAAGTCTCAAACCCAGGGTCAGAGAGGCTTTTGATCCCAGGTATATCCCTTCCTCAAGCTAATCTGCTTTTAAAAGAGAAAATCACACAGGCAATTGGCATCCCTAATGCCCTGGAACCCTCCCCAGGAAGACAAAATCATTTCAAATCATGAGCAAGGTGTGATGTTAGGAACAGCCCGGCCAAGTGAGAGGCAGAAGAGAGTAAGAGTGTCCAAATTTTCCCAAACGTGGGGCTGACAGACCTAGACACGTGAACAGGGAAGGGCATACAACCACCCACCTTCCAAACTCTCCTGGGCATCTGGAGACAGACCCCCATTCTGTAGCTGGTCGTGTAGGAACTGGATGATGGAGTAGGCAAGGCGCTTCTGGTCTGCCATCCCGGGAGGCTGCGGGCAGCTTGGGACAACTTCCAAAAAATCTGTAGAGAGAGAGAAGTTGTATCACTTGATGGGCAAGAGGTCAAAGAGCTTTCCTGCTGCTCTGTCCCTACGAACGTGGAGGTTAAGGGAGTTGCTCAGGACTGGCCAAGGCCTCCAGAGCCTTCATTAAACTCTGCTGTAACCACGACCCCCTTTACATGAATTCTCTGGGCCTCACTTCACCCTTTACAGTGCAAGACGCAGAGTCCTGCCCCACGAGGCTCCTGCCAAGGGAAATACATGAAAGGTGCTGCAGGCACTCAGGCCTCTGCCTGCCAAACCGAGCACTGAGGATCTCCCCCATGAGCCACCCTCTTCTGCTTCCAGGGCATCATTTGATTCTGAACCAAAACCGAAAGCTGAAGCAATTTGCCACAGTTAGCAGGGCCGGGGTTCAGGGCTGTCAGCCCTCTGTGCTCCTTGCCAGGATGCCAAAGGAGAAGGAGAGCGAGGACCCAAAGCAAAGGCACCCCCCACAAGCCCACCCCAGGGCTGGGGCTCCCAGAGACCCCGACACGGCTCCTGGATGGCACCTCTGCTGAGCCGGAGTATCCTGCCTCTCCAGAACACTCAACTGGGTTTGTAGCACAGACAACACATTCAGGGGGGCTTAATAAGTAAGTTATTTAATTGCAGACTCTGTGAAAGAGCGCCCAAGGGAGCTCGGCTGGTCCCAGCCCACTGAAAGCCACCAGAGGCTTCCCCAGACAGACACCGCGGCGGGTGCCTCGGGCAGGGGTCTGTGCCCGGCTCCCGGTCCCAGTGAAAAGCGGGGACAGAGCCCGCAGACCCCCCCGGGGCAGGCAGAGAGGAGGGAGGCACCTCTCCTCCCCCGGGCCCCCGCCCGCAGCTCCCCCCGGTGCCCCGGGAGACAGGCCCGAGGGGCGCGACGGACCCCGGAACCCCGCCCCCCCTCGGTACACCGCTCCGTGAGGAGACGGCACCACCGGCAGCGCTCCCTCTCCCGGGGCCTGCGCGGAGAAACCACCCCCTCCCGCCCCAAGAGCCCCGGGCCCGGCCCACACCGGACCCCGGTTGAGGGAAGCGCCAGGCCCCGCCGCGACCCCCGGGCTCAGCCGCTACCCCCCCGCCAGGAGCAGAGGCGGGAGGGTTCCTGGTGGGGAGCGCTACCCCCGGAGCGCTACCCCAGGCCCCGCTCCCCTCCCGTTTCCCTCCCGGTCCCGCCGCCCCGCCCCGCTCACCGGGCGCCCCGACTCTGGCCTGGGCCGGGGCGGGCTGAGCACTGCGCATGCGCCCCGCCCCCCCGCGCCTGCGCACGGCCCCCTCCCGCCCCGCGCCTGCGCGCCCGCCAAGCCCCGCCCACTCTTTTCCCTTATATGGAGAGCCCGGCCGGACCCCGGTTGAGGGAAGCGCCAGGCCCCGCCGCGACCCCCGGGCTCAGCCGCTACCCCCCCGCCAGGAGCAGAGGCGGGAGGGTTCCTGGTGGGGAGCGCTACCCCCGGAGCGCTACCCCAGGCCCCGCTCCCCTCCCGTTTCCCTCCCGGTCCCGCCGCCCCGCCCCGCTCACCGGGCGCCCCGACTCTGGCCTGGGCCGGGGCGGGCTGAGCACTGCGCATGCGCCCCGCCCCCCCGCGCCTGCGCACGGCCCCCTCCCGCCCCGCGCCTGCGCGCCCGCCAAGCCCCGCCCACTCCTTTCCCTTATATGGAGAGCCCGGCGGCTCGGCGCACGCGCGCTGCGCACGGCTTGGGGGCGGGGCCGGAGACCGGAAGCGCGGCGCTCGCTCCGCCCGGATTTTTTTTTTACCATGGAGAGGGGGGCGTTGCCATGGGAACGGGCGGGCTCGGGGGCTGCTCCCGACGGGGCTCCGCTCCCGGACCGCCCCCCCGCAACCACCGGGGCCGAGAGCCGGGGGTAGGGATGGGGCTCGGCGTGTGCGGGCGGACGGGCCGCTTTCCCCGGCCCGGGTGGAGCGAAGGGAGAGGGGAGAGCGGCCCGGTCCTCCAGGCTCCCACAATCCTTCGCGGCCGGCGCGCTGTCCCCCCGCCTCTATGGTTGGGGCACATGCTCCCTGCGTGGGGCCGGCGCGGTCTCCTCCCGGCCTCGTCAGCAGAGCGGGGCCTCCCGCCGCCCCCGGCACCCCCGGCATGGCCCCCCC